CCGGAAGCACAGGAGATGTATTTCGCCTGTTGCAGAATGCCGAATCGCTTCAATGCGCGGAGCTCGCCCATTGTCATCGCGGCTGATCGCGTTCCACCGCCAGAAAAGCAGATGCCGAAGCTATCCTTTTTCTTATAAGCCTCGACTTCATCCTCGGGGAATCTAAACGGTGAAGTAGTGGGCCGGATTCGGCCTGTGACCTCCTCGTGGGTTGTGGAGAGGTGACGCCGTCGGAGGAGAAGGTGGGTATCTCAATCATATCTTTCTCCGGTGTTGAGCTCCCCAGCTTTTCGCCGGCCCTCCGTGCCACCGGACGACGCGATGGAATCCGAAGGAAACTGGCTGGAGAGTTTCCCGAAGTGGCCAGCACCGAGCCGGTGAGGAGAAAGAACAGATACGACCGCAGTCTTCCCATATCGGCGAGCTCAGTTCCACCAAGAAGCTTGCCGGAGAGACGAAGACAAGCCCAGTCGCGTCGGCAACTCTGCTGAATGCGGGCAAGCCGGCGCAAGTGCTTCAAATGCTCGTCCTTCAGCTCCTGCCTCTGGCGGACCCCCCCTGTTCAAGTTGTCGATCAAGTGATCGTCCGTGAAAATGGCTCTGGAATAAACTATATTGCAGCAGTGGATGTCAAAACCAGCCAGCAAGGCGAACTAGGGAGTGAGCGGTTTCACCAAATGTCCTAAGCGGCCTGATGGCGAAGTCCCATGTCTTTCACGCACAATCAAACGAACGACACGCAACAGGAATCACCCACGCACGCTCCACATGCACAGAGGAACCCAAGGAACACACTCACGAGGTCTCCAAACCGAAACCCACGGCCGTCCGCTGATACGAGTCACCTAGGGATCGGTTTCGCGAGAGTACCCTAGGCGGCTAGGGAGGAATGCGAGCTAGAGAGTGGATCACTGTTGGCCACGGGTCCATAAATGCATGAGTATATGGATGATTGGCAGTGCAGGGCGATCTGTCCAGCCATCACCGAAGCAGATCTGTGTCCACGTAGCCTGACGATGCATCCTATGGATAGACACCGGTATACCACTAGTGTGTGACTTGTCCGTATCACTGAAGTGAAAGCACTCTTGACTCTGGGACTTACCGCCCAGTTGATCCTCAGCTATTCAACTGATTCGGCAAGGCCCTCACCGGCCTTTCCGCACAATGGAAACGCTACCAGAGTACAATATCAATGGCAACATGCGAGAGCATTCTGACGGTTGAATTCGGCGTATCGCGGACGATGCGTTTTTGAACTCTGGACCCTTCCCGAGAAGTTTTTATATGGAAACTTGTATGCAAAAAGAAGACGAATATTGGTCCAGAATTCCAATTCGCCTTGGCGTGCGCGCGATTGTTGGCGACTTTGAGAATTTTCGCCTTTTTTCAATTTGGGCTTCACATTAGTAGGGGCATTGTGCGAAAAGGCCGGTGAGGACCTCTTCTATAATCAGTTGAATAGAGGATCTGCTGAGCGGTAAGTCTCAGAGTCAGAGTGCTTTCACTTCAGTGAGATGGGTCAGTCACACAAGTGGTTCTGTCCATATGAGGCATCATCAGGGGTGGTCAACAACTGCGTTCGGTGATGGCTGAAAGATCACTCTGCACTGACATCATGTATATACATGCGTGTATGCATCTGCTAGTCAGAACCCCAGCTCGCACAAGCATCTGCATTTGAATAGTGTATGCATCGAATGTCTCTCTGTTGGTTCGCCGGCGTGCGCACACCTGTGGTTGGATGGTATATATGATAAATGTTTCTGTTTGTACGCATGCCTGTGCACGCCTGTAATTGGATGGTGTATGCATCGAATGCCTCTGGTTGTGCGCACGCCTGCGTACATCTGTATTTGGATGGTGTCTGCATCGAATGTCGCTCTGTTGGTGCACACGCCCTTAAGCGTAAACAAATGGGTGACGAATGCATGAACAGATGCATTTTTCACTGAATGATTGAGCGCCATCCTTGCTTCGAAATCCTCTTCAAATCGCATTGACGCTGACATAGTAATTCGGGGTCAAATTTGTGGCTTCTTTTTAATAGTGATATAACTCAATTCCACAATCCCATTGCACCATTTGCCTTGGCTAATTCGGCCGCAGACGAGGTACAAAAAAGGTGTTGTCTGTAACAAAATTCGTAATGCTCTTTCTCCTTCACACTCATTAGATCTAATTCGATGTCTCATCTATTGTGTAACCGAAGGCCAGGGAACCCTTCTGGATGTCACCATCACCCACCCCTGCCAACCCGACGCCTCCCCCGTCTGCTCTTACAGAGACGTAAGCCGGCGCAGTGCTCAGCTTTCGGGTTGGAAGGTCCTTGCCGAGAAAGCCAAGACGACAAGTACGGCCCCACTACTACTGTCCAAGCCAGAGGCTTCCGTTCTGTCCCCTTTGCCGCAGAGACATTCAGCAACTGGGCGCCCGCGATGCTTGCCTTCCTCAAGACGCTCGCTAAGAGGAGACCCGCCCTTCGGTCATCCCAGCATCCGAAGATGAATCTTCCCGAGAGAGCGTCATTAATCATTGGAGGAAGCTTCTGTCCATGGAGCTGAGAAAGTAGACTGCACTCCAAGTGGCCAACTGCTTTCAGAGAGCCGTAGCCGCGAGGGGACCTGCTAGGGCCAGTGCCTTTGCGGAGGACTTCATCAGCCGAGGCCCTTACACGCCTCACACGATGCCCCTCTTCCGGGCGTGAATATGTCAGGCACTGTATGCCGTTGTGCATGCAGTTGCATGGACCGTGCTTTTGTGTGTGCCGGCTTTGCATGGTTGCTTCCCTGTTACGCGCTGCCTGTGATTATGCATCTGCTGGGGC